ATTTACTATTATTATTATTACCATTTGAAATCTTTTATTCCGACAAAATCGAAATAATAATAATAATAATTTTTAAAAAATTTTTTAGCGTTGATAAATCAAAAGCTGCCTCATTAGTTTTGCATTGCTGTGACATTTCTCATCCTGCAAAACGATGGGATCTTCATTCACGGTGGACAGGACTTTTACTGGAAGAATTTTTCAGACAGGGAGATATGGAAAGAGATTTAGGGTTGCCTTTTAGCCCTTTGTGTGATAGAAAAACCACCCTCGTTGCCGAATCTCAAATAGGTTTTTTAACTTTTTTATTTAAAAAAAATTCCCTCCCCCCCCCCCCCCGCATAAGATCGGCATAAGATTTTATTATGTTTGCAATGTTTTGCGTTATTAATTTTAGGTTTTATTGAATTTATTGTCGAACCTAGTTTAGCAGTTTGTAGTGACATGTTGGAAATAATATTGGGACCTCAAAAACAAGATGATGGAACGGGAGAAGAAACGACGGAAAGTCAAAAACCTTGGGTTGAAATGCTTGTGACAAATAAAACAAAATGGAGAGAACAAGCTGCTAAAGGTTTTTAACTTATAAATTAAATTATTATCAATATTAAAACCATTTTTAGTAAAGGAAATATTTTACTTTAATGCAGATGCTGAAATTCGAGCTCAGGAGGAATTGGAGGAAAATCAAAATGATGATGCCAGAAATGATGAATGAATGAATATAATAAATAATGTTAAGTAATTAGTTTTAGAAAAAGAATTTTATTTTGAACAATCTCAAATATTTACATTAAAAAAAAAAAAGAGATGAATTAAGTTTGAAAGATATTCTAAGCATAAAAATATATAAATAAATAAATAAATATACATAAATAAGTAAATATATATATATATACAAAGTAAAAAAAAAAAAAAATGTTTTTTTCGCATTATTTTCGCCATTTTGTTGTTTGTTTGGATGAGGGAAAAAATGATTTTTTTTTTTATTAGGCACTTTGAAATTATTTTAATTTTGTTTTGAATTCGTTTCTTTTTTTTATTGAGTTTTTAAATGTTTAAACGTTTAATTATTATTATTATTACGTTAACTACATTCAAATAAACAAAAGGGGAAAACTTTAAGAAAATTACACATTTTAACGAATTTAAAGAAGTTAAATAACGATAATAATGATCAAATAGAACAAACATTTTATGTTTAAGTTTGTTTTCTCTCTCTCTCTCTCTCTTATTATAAATTTATTGGACAAAAATACCACCAATAAGTGTGTAAAACTTTTCATCGTTTTTTTTTTTTTTTTAAAATTAAATCATTTTAAAAATTAATGATTTTCTTACAACAAAAATTTATCTTTTGTCGTAAAAATTTACGACCGCATAAAAAAAAATTCAACAAGACTATTTTAGAAACAGGGTTATATTTAAAAAATATATATATATAATTTCGAGATCACAAAAAAAAAAAAAGAAAAAGTTTAATTTTGTACCAAGGCGTATTCTTCTGGATTATATACATTTTGTATTGCTTCCGGTGCTATCATGACGTATTGTCTTATACTGCTAATTTCGTGTGTCGTCGTATTTAGAGATGCTAATATTTCGGCATTTTTCAAACTGTCACTCAGGGAATTATCAATGTTACAATTATCATCATTTGATATTAAATCTCCATTATCGGAATATTTAATTTTTTTGTTTATTTCCTGACCTTCTCCGTTTCCGTTTCCGTTTCCGTTGATATAATCAATATTACCTTGATTGAATTCCGTTCTACTTCGCATTTCTTTTTCGATTTTACTATGATATCTCTCGTGTGTTACGAGGGAGTCCTGACAAACAAACGAAGCATCACACTGTTTGCAATCGTAAGCTTTGTTCATGATCCCGACAGCGATTTTATCATTGTTTCTTCCCGTTTTTCTCCTTCTTTTCTTGTACGCTTCGTGTTTTTCCATACATTTCCCATCGTTTTCCTCACCGCAATTGTTCACGGTTTGAACTTTGTTTAATTTTTCATCTAATATCCCATGATGTTTTCTCACGTGATTTTTTAACTTTCGAGAAGTTGGCAATACTAGTTGAGGACATAAATGACACCTGTATTCTTTGAGTTCTCCATTTGGATGTTGAGACTGAATGTGAATTTGAAGATTCCCTATTACAAAAAAAAAAAAAAAAAAATTTTTTTATTTCTAAACATTTAATATTTTGGCAACTGTCAGTTTAGTAAAAAATAAAACGAATACAAACGTTTTAATGTACTTTTATATGGGCAGTACGTGCAAGAGTGAGGTTTTTCTTCTGAATGTATAACCATGTGACGTTTTAAATCTGAATTTGTTTTAAATGCAGCTTTACATTTGCTATTCGTGCAAATAAATGGAGAATCCCCCGTGTGAGTCCTTAAATGAACCGTCAACTGTGAGGAATCTCTTGCTCTGTAGGAACACAGTTGACATCTAAAGATAACAAATTCAATCAATCAATCAATCTCAATTTTTTTTTTTTTTAAATTACTACTACCACTTTTTTTCTCATTTCACACATAATTTCAACTTACTTAAAAGGTCTTTCTCCATTGTGAACTCTAAGATGTTTAATTAAACTTCCGGAATCTACAGAAGCATAATCACATTTTGTACACTTGTACCTTTTGTCTCCAGCATGAATTCTCTGATGAAGAAGAAGTTTATCTGTTCTGTTAAAAGCTTTGTCGCAAAGGTAACATTTAAATGGTCTTTCCCCTTTAAAAAAAAAAAAAGTTTTCGATGAATTTAATTGATTTGCATTACATAATTAATAACTCTAATTTTGAATAATCGCAATTGAAAATGTGTTCGGTTAGTATTTATAAAAACCCATAATTTAAAAACTTAAAAAGTATTTAATATCCTTGAATCGTTTCAAAAGAGAATTCATTCTTTTACTTTGTTTAATAAATTATTTAAAAAAGTTAATCTTTCTCAATGACAGTTTTTTTTTTTATTTTACTAATAAAAAGTACAAAAATATTAATGTAATATTTTTAACAAATAATGTAATTTTTTTTTTTAACGAGTACTTTATGTAAAATAAAAAAATAAGAATTTAAACCTGTATGAACTCTAGAGTGCCTCTCAATGTCTTTCCTCAATAATGTTTTGTAAAGACAGCCTTCTACTTGACAACTAAAAAGCTTTCTTAACTTTCCTCTGTACATGACTTTATTTTCTTCCTTTTTTTCAGGTTCTTTAGTAATGACATTTTCTAAAGATGTAATTGTAGTCGTTTCAACATTTACATCAACATTAGGATCATCTAAATAAAACATTTTGAGAATTAGTGAAAATGTACAAAAGTTCTATTAATAATAAATAAATATCTAAAATATTTCGAATCGACTACAATCGAAAATATATCGAATTTTTGATAAGTTATTTATTTTAAAAGTACCTGAACATGTTTCATTATTAAGTTGATTGGCAAGTAAGGTTGCAATATCTTCTTCATCATTTTGAAAAGTTCTTTTCCACTCTAAAATAGAATCAGTTCCATTATCTAAAACACTTTTATCATTTTTAACCTTTTCATTTGTGCCAAGTCTCGATTCTGAAAAAAACATTTTATTGTATGTAGGTGAATGGCAATTTCATATAACAAACAAAACTTGTAGATATACTGATATTCCAAGTGTTAAGGTAATAAATTAAAAATTGGTACAATCAAAAATGTTAATTAAATAAAAACTAATAACTTTTTAAATAGTTCAAGAAAAAAAATTTATAACCTTATTATAAATTTACCTTCTAAAGACTCTAATGTGCACTGTTTGAGTTGATTTTCATCTTTAATAAGAAAATTGTTAAGTAAATTTATTTGATTTTCTTCTTTTTTTAATTGGTCATTATAAGAATCAATTGAATTAATTTCTATTAGACTATTTACATCAGTTTTCTTTATCATTAACTGTTCAAAGGTTGATTCCTTCAAATCATTTTCTTTACAAATTTCTTTGTGCTTAAGAAATAAACTTAATAATGTATATTGAATTTTACATCTTCCACAAATGTGAACATCATTTGTAAAATTTCGAGGGATTATGACCACTAAAAAAAAATTTTCGAGATTCATTAACATAATTAAAATTGTAAATAATAATGATTGGTAAAAACTGTTTTTTGTTTTTAAATACTTACAATATATATTTGATTGACTTTGTAAATTCATATTTTAATTTATCATTTTCTAAATTTTTATAACAATTTAAGAAACTTAAAATTTCATTAAACAGTAAACTTAATTATTATTATTATGATTTTGTTATTGAAAAATAAAATGGTATCTGGGTTAATAACGACAATAAATTAATACTCATGGTTTTGCTTTTATTGTTTTATAAAATTAATACTTTTAAAAGTAAAGTTATTATAAATAATGTTTTTAAAAAATGGAGTTCTTCACTAAAAATAATCTTCTTTAAAAATAGTTATTACTTCACTTTTATGTTTTATGCATTTTAATATTTCAAAAAATTACGAGAAACTTTAGTTTTAATAAGTCAAACGACAGAAATTATTAAACTGAACAGTTATTTAGTAAATTATAAAAAATGATTTTTTATTTGAAATAATCAGAGATTAGGTTATATTTTTATGTAAAAACATTAATAATGATAATTAAAAAATTTATTAATTTTTTTTAAAAACTGTCAAAATGTTTTAAAAACATGCTTGTAAACATTAATAAAACTTTTAATAAAAAAATGAGTGATTATGGATAATATTTAAGTCAGAAAACTGATTATTATTTAAAAAATTGAATTGTTTTACTATATATTTTTAAAAAATTATATTGATGCATGGCTTTACGGTTGTTGGAAAGTCGAAAATTTCAAAAAGGCGGTGGTTTATCAAATTCTAACAATACGTCAAAAAATATGTTATTATCTAATTCTAATTTTATTTAATTATTTCTTTTTTTTAAATAAATTAAATACCCTCCTCATATACGATTTTATTAATAAGATATAAAAGTGTTTTATATAATTTAAAAAAAATTTGTTTTTCGAATGTAAACCTCAAATAATAATAATCATGAGTTTTTTCTTTTTTTTTTTTTTTTTTTTTTTACTTAATAACTTATATCTGGTTAGTTGGATTAGTATGACTTTTGGCAGTTAATGATACTCATAAGTGAATAAAATACTTTTACTCAAAAATTTAAACAATTTTCAAATTAGCATTTTTTTAAGGTAAAATTTAATTTTTTTTGTTTAAACACAGGTTTAGTTGGGGGGTAATTGAAATTTGAAAAAAAATTATTTATGTAAAGGTCAAATAAAATTGAAACCAAATTACACAGAAAAAAAGAAAAACCCAAAAGATTTTTTTTCAAATTGTAAAACCGAATATGAAATATTATCATTGCAATTAAACATAAATAAATTTATGTAAATTTTACATAAATGTAAAACAACACACAAATTTAATATTAAAAAATAAAAATTTTTAATTTTAGGTCAACATTGATAATGATTCATATAATTTTAAAAACTATTATCAAATATGTACATAGTATGGTAAATTTTAATAATGTATTTTTTTTATTAACTCCCATCATTATTTTTTTTTTTGTTTAAAAAGTATATTATTATTAAAAAAAAAAAAAAAAGAAAATCTACTGATAAAAATATGTAATTATTTTTAACAAATGACAATTTACTGTTAATTGTATGTAATTAAAAAAAAGAAGAACAACGACAACATGACATCCAATCATTTGTTTTAATAATTTAAAAAAAAAATTATATTGAATATTGATAAGACTTCCTTATCTATTTCTTCACCATTTTTTTTTTTTTTTTAATTGACTAACACAACAATTTTTCTTATAGATGTGTGTGTGTCTGTATTTTATAAATTAGTATAATTTTTTTTTAATTATTAAGAAGTATTTGAAGCCATTTTGTGATAATAGAAAATATTACATTGAGATAGATGTGTGAAAGTATTAAAAATTGTTTAAACATCTTTTCTTTTGTTTTAACTTCTTAAAATTTAAACTTATGGAGTACTATCTTTTATTTCAAATATTATTATATGTCTTATTGCCACCCCCCCCCCCTTATTTCATACCCATCAAAAAAATTTTCTTGTTGGATTATTGTTAAAGAAAAAAAAATTTATAAATTATTAATTAATAATTAGAATTTTATAAAAAATCACAAACACCATTTAGATTTATTTCAAGTTGTAAATTTATTATCACAAACTTATCAGAAAAAAAAAAAAAAAATAATAATAATAATAATACTTATCAAACTGAAAAATAAAATTACCATGAATATTGAATCATTTGAAAAAAAAAAAAAAAAAAAAAAAAAAGCAATTTAATTTTTTTTTTTTCATTGCATTGACTATTTCTTTTAAAAAAAATTTTTTTTTTTACTAGTAAATAACGGATTTTAATTATTTTATATTAAAAAAAAAAAACTTCCGATGAATAATTTGCACGTGTATTATTATTATTATTATTATTATTATTATTATTATTTATTTTATAAAATCAATATTTAGTTATGAAAATTATTATAGGCAAATTTCTTTCTTTTATTTCCTTGTTATTTTGTTTGTTATAATCTTTTACTAAAACAACATTGTTTATAAAATACTAATAATAATAATAATAATAATAACAGAAGAAAATTTTTTTTTTAAATCAAAGTTAATAAAAAAAAAAAAAAGAAAAAGTATAGATTTTTAGGGGGGGGGGAGGGGAGATTGTGTAAAAGTGAAAGCTAAAAAATAATTGCATGTATTTTTTATTTTATGCCCTGAATCAAATAGTTTAGTAAAAAAAAATATTTTTTTTATTTTGCTTTTATTTAAATAAATTTTTTTTGTTATTTTCAGGTATAAAAAAAAGAAAATGAAGTTTCAAACGTTGACAAAAACAACGAGAAGATTATTTAAATTAATTATATATTCATATAAAACGGGATCATTAATGATAATAATTAATTTTTTTTTCAACAAACTTCAATATAAATTCATGTAAGTTTTTTTTTTAAATTTTTTTTCTTTTTATTTATTATAAACTATTATAGTGTTGTAGGTCGGAAATGATAAAGCTTTAAACAACAAACAACGAACAACAAACAAATTTACTATTAAAAAACTATTCTGTACATGAACTAAATTGTTGTTGTTGTTGTTGTTGTCGCCATTTTTGAATAATATTTAATCATTATTAATAGTTTAAAATTTTTTTTTTTAAACATAAACATTTATTATGTTGGATTGTAAAAGAAATTTCTAATTTTTATATATTTCAAGGCTACCTCTTCCATTTTTTTTTTTTTTTTTTTATATAAAAAATAATTAAATAATTTATATAAATTACTCGGTCGGCCATTTTAAAAAAAAAAAAACTTTTTAGAATTATTAAAATGTCAGGTGTTGTCCATAATCGATTTCTTTATTAATCGTTATTTATAAATAATAATTTCTCAGAAATTAAACAAAGTATAATGTGACAAAAAGAAAAAGGAAAAAGGAAAAAGGAAAATTTTTGTCATGATCTGTCATTAATTAAAAAAAATTTTCCGGTTTTGAAAAACTAAACAAAGACTTTTAAAATTTAAAAAGGATTTTTTTGTAATTTTTTTTTTTTTTTTTTTTTTTTTTATGAATCGCGTGATAAAATCTCATTTTCTATATGTTGTTAATTATTTAATAATAATAATAATAATAATAATATTAAGGTTTTTAAATACAAACGGTTGTTGTCGATTGTTTTTAAGCCATTAATAAGTAGGGGAGGAGGGGGGGGAAAAAAAAAAAAAGTTGAAGGTTTCAATTTAAAAAAAAAAAAACTCGTTGAAATTTTTCACAATCGTATTCATTTTGGTTAGTTTGACGAGTACGATTTAATAAGTTAATAAATTTTTATTTATTTATTTATTTAAATTTTTTATATTATCAAGTGTGTTATTATTAGGTACGAAAATTTTCATTTCCGTTCCGGAATGTTTTTTTTTTTTTTTTTGAAATTTTTTCGCGCCTTTTTTTTTATTATTAAAAAACGAGATTAACGAGCGACTCGTTTTTTTTTAAACTTTTATTATCATTATTATTATTATTATTATTATTATTATTATTAATTAGTTTTTGTCGTCAACCATTTTCATTCTTCTTCTTATTCTTTATTTTTTTTTTTTTTTTTAATTAGTATTTGTTGTTTTCTTATTACGAAATGTTGTTGTTGTTGTTGTTGTTTGGGTTAAAAATGTTTTTTCTTCGGTCAAAATATCTTTGATAAAAAAATTTTTTTTTTTTAGGCTTGTACCGCCTTTTCTCATTTCATTATTTATTATTATTAATAATAATAATAATAATAATAATAATAATAATAATAATAATAATAATAATAATAATAATAATAATAATAATAATAATAATAATAATAATAATAATAATAATAATGATAATAATAACCGTCGCGAAATATTTTTTGATCTTTTATAAAAAAAAAAAAATTTTAACTTCATTGATTAAAAAAAAAAAAACGTCCGCTGATATTTAAATAAAAAATAAAGAGGCCATAACCATGTGACAAAATAATAATAATAATAATAATAATACGTAGGAATTTTTTTTTTTTTTTGTTCGCTGACATAATTAAACCGTCGTCGTTATTAAATCATCGACATTGACAATAAATTCAAAACAACAAAAGTTAATAACTGTCAGGCCCTATTTTTTTTTTGTTGTTATCGAGATGCTTATTTACTCGTATTATTCGTGTCGTTCATTTTTTGATAAATTATTATTATTATTATTATTATTATTATTATTATTATTATTATTATTATTATTATTATTGGTAAAACGAAATCCTTTTGCGAAAATGTATGTTGCGTTAAATTAATCTTACGTACTTTTACGCAATAATAATAATAATATAAACGGATATTCTCGTATTAGGTATGCAGAGAATAAATACCTTTGAAGGAATTTTTTAATCGATAAAAATCGATTTTTTTTTTTTTTTTTTTTTATTTCCATTATGTAAAATGATATTTTAACAATCTGTCGATCGATCGTTAGGACAAACGTTAGTCGAACAAACAACAAACATTAAAATGCAACAAACAATTATATAAGGAAAAATTTTTTCTTTTCTGTACGTGTGTCGTGTAAAATTTTAACGTTTTTCTTTCGGGAAATTTGTTTGTTAATTAGGTAGGGAAAAATAATTTTTCAGGATTTGTTATTTTAAAAAAAAATTTTTTTTAACAGTTTTTCTCAGGCTTGTTAATAAACCGCCATTTTTTTTTTTTTTTTTACTCTGCTCTACGAAAAAGCCGGAAGTGTCCTCCTAAAATTAAAAAGCCTAAATTTATTTCTTTTTTTTTTTTTTTTTTAAGTAACTGAGATAGTAAATATTTATTGTTTATCCGACAAATCCAAGTCTGTGAATAGGTCAGTTATTATTTGCTCACTAATCGGTGAACATAACGATTCGATAGAAAAAGTTGATTTGTGGTGCTCTGTCGTGTGCGGTTCTTCAGTTGACGTCTTAGGACACATACAAAAAAAAAAAAAAAAAAATTTATGAGTATGCCGGTTGAAGCTTTGGGGGCGGAAGAACAATGTACAAGAATGATTTTCGGTAAGCTAAGACAGGTCGTTACTCAAAAATTTGGGTATGGGATCAAAGAAAATAGAGCTTTTAAAGTCGCTATAAGTACTATGAGTGCCAAAGATTTGGAAAGAATTATAAGAAATGGAGCTTTGTATCATATAAAAAGAATTTATAGGTAAGAATTAAATTATTTTTTTTCTTTTGGGGGGAGGGAGGGTAGGGGGGGGGGTAAAAATGAGAGTTGGTTTTGTTCCCAAAAAGTTTTTGCTGTTTTAAATTTAGTTTTAGTTTTAGTTTTACATTAAAATCTCGCACTATCAATTTGACACAACTCTAATGTTTTAGGCAATTTTTTGCACGTGGTGAAACGGTTGTTGTTAGAGTATCGGAAGGACTTTTGAAAGGTAGAAGGCTCGTGTCCGTTTTAGGAAAACCTTATTTTAGATTTCAAGGGATTCCATATGCTAAATCTCCAGTTGGCCCA